TGACATCATCAGGTACCATAACAGTGTTGCCAGAATAGACGTGGGAAAAGAGCTGACATTTGGCCTAGTTCCTCTGTCTATGTCTCTGTTTTGTATCTGCTGTTGCTGGTGAGTAGCACTTTCGGTTGCTATTCACAAGTAACGGCAAGCCAACCACCTGAAGCTGTGTGAGGCAAGTGCCATTATGATTAGGGAAATCAAACTATCTGGACAGAAGAATACATTTGCTCTTAGACAGAGTTGCACTTACCCCTGAAGACCAACATTTGCAGTATGGGAATGCTCCTAGATTCAGTGCTAATTGGGGACTTCTGTTGACAGTGATAGCCAGAAGTACTTCTTACTGGCTTAGAATGGCATGCCCTCTCTGGTCCATACTCACCAGCAGAAGTTCTTCTCACTCCACAGTGAGTACAAGAGAGGCCATTCTTAGTGATGACCCCACACCTCTGGAATGAGCTTTCATGGGGGCGGTGGGCAGGGTCGTCAGGCTGCTTCTTCATAGTCCGCAGAAAAGCTCTGATATATGTTTTCACTGGCCTTTTAAAATTTTGGGAAAGCTGGTTTTATCTGTAATCGCCATTTTTACTGAATTTCATTGCTTTGTATAGTTCCTTTTGTTTTTGAACACTACCTTGGGAGGAATGGTATCACCCTTAATCAAGCCTAAATATATTTTAAATAAATATTGTCCAGAACAGACTGCCAATCATTGATGACACATTTGAGTAGATTTAACTGGAAATTGCAGATGACAACTTATGGTGTTATATTGCTTCGTCTTCTGGCTCTGTCCTTGAATAGATTATTCCTGGGTACCGGTCTGCCCTGTGTGTCTGTTTTTTCCACTGTCTTGGATTGGTATTGTACTCAGAAATGATTTAGTGGGAGCTGGATTTCTGAAGTCCATGATGTAGTTCAACAGGAGTGCGCAGGAAAAAAAATCTGTAACATTGATTGATCCAGTCTCAGGTTGATGGCAGAGTGAAAAATATAGACTTCTATTGTCTGAGCTCAGATAATAAAATGGATGTCAGGGTATTACAAGCAGAAAAGAGATTTGGTGGCAAGAGCTGTGAAAGCTTTGTTCTAAGTCAGCCTTGAGGACGTTAGCATACTGTGGGGCCATGCAAGTACCAGTGACAGTGTCATTTCTACAGAGTGTGACCGGTAACCCTGCTCCTTACGAACACTCATGGACAATAACTGCATAAAGCTTGGAGGGGTTCTGAGGGCCAGGTAGCTGGCTGTTTTTATTGGCTCTTCCCCCATTCCTTTAATTACAACTTGATAGAGACACACTTAGCAAGGCAAAGCTATTTTCTGTCACAGAGATGAACAGAAGCCTTTAAGAGCCCTCAGTATGTGGTAGAGCACACGTTTTGTATCAAGTGTCCCAGGTTCAATCTCCAGCATCTTGAGGTGGAGTTGGAAAATAATATTGCCTGAAACCAGGAGAGCTGCTGCCAGTCAGTGTCAACAGTCCTGGACTAGATGGACCAAAGGACTGATTTCATGTGAGGCAGAGACCTCGTGTATCTGTGAGGCAGAGACCTCATGTCCCAGGGAACTCTCTTCTATGTGTGTTTGTTCTTAAAGGAACAAGAACAAATCCATATTCAGATTTACAGCCCTGCTGTAGAAATGGTTAAAAGGTGTATGGTTGATTGATTGATTGACTGATTGATTGAAAGCGATATGAATGGTGCACTTGGCAAAAGTTCTCTGTAGTATGTTTGTAGCCTCTGTAATACCCTGAAACAACAGGGATGAACAAAGGGATCCTAGATCAAGCCAGAGCTTTTCCTAGAACCAAACATGAGACTGTCCTACTTTGTGCACATCATGAGAAGTCAAGACTCACAATCATGCTAGGAAAGGTTGAAGGCAGAAGAGGACAAGGAAAACCAACTAAGAAGAGATGGATGGACCCCATAAAGGGAGCACTAGCCTTGAATTTAGAACAGCTAAGGCAGGGTGTTATGGATAGGAGAGCTTTCATTGATGGGGTCTCTATAATTCAGACACAACTTGATAGCACCTTACAACAACAGTAGCAACAACTACAACTGCCTCTGTAAATGCAAGGGGATCTTACAGTGGAATCAATAATGGTAGTGAAACCTCTGGCATTCATCCTGTACCTGTAAACAATTTTTCTTGTCTGACTGTCATCTTGTCTGGCTTTAATTAGAATTTAAAATGTAGAGAAGACTGAGCCCCCTCTTTCATAGATATACATCTCTGTCTGTCACACACACACACACACACGTACACATGTGTGTACATATATTGCCAGGGGGGTGACGTGCACAATGTGACCAATTTTGCTTTTGTTTTTCTGTAACTGCAACAGCTGTTGAACTTCATCTGGGGAGAGGAGGAGGAGGATTGCAGGGCTCAGTAAAAATCCCTAGTGATTTCTTTGACACCATAATTAAGAGTAATTAAAACCTTGATGCTTCAAAGTCTGCCTACATATCCAGAAATAAAACCTCCCATATTTAATTATGTTCATACAATGTTATGGGTTTGGGAGGTGGAGGCTTTTCATCCCTTCTCCAAGATGCAGAGAGAAAACTGATGGACAGATTGCATAGAGAGGTGTCATTAAAGGCATGCCTCACCTTCAGGAATGGATGTTTGTCAAATGTTTTCTTCCTTTGAGTTTGAATCAGACAGCTTTCTTAAATGGAGGCAAGGGCTCCGTGAGAATGAAAAAATGCAAGGCTTGAGTAGCAGATTTTGAAAACGTAATAACCACTGCTCCAAAATGGCAGACACTGTTTTCAAATGTCAACATTAAAACAATATATTTTCAGGAATGTCAGAATATTCTCTTTAAACTTTTTTTTTGGTTTGATATTTTGACACAAACATATTCAGATACTTCAGGGCTTGTGTTTAATATCACAACAATCCCAAAGCACATGCCCCATCTTGAAGCATTGTTTCATGTTCCTTTTGTCCGCCTGAGGGCATTTGTTTTTATTTTTCTTATACAAATGTTAAGAGGCTGTTATCTCAGCAGGAAAAATTAACTATAATATTGAATGTTTCTCTGAAAGAATTTAATTGAAAATAATGTAATTAAAAGGAGCAAGTAGAAGAAAAGAAATACTATTTCTAGATTTCAGCATCTGGATGTAATAACAAGCATACCAACCATACAGATGTAGAGAACTTTATTCTAAAAATCAATTTTAATAGATATAATATTGTTTCTTCATATACAGACAAAATGTCCTATTACAGGGCCTAAAGGTATTCTTTTTTGTGGTGTTTTGAAATGTGTGGGAAACAGATTTTGAAAATAACAATGCAGCCAGATCTGCGTACTGACTAAATGCAAATAAGAAAGATGATAGTCCCATAGAGGGCATGCATAATTGCTTGCATTAAGACAAAACATTAAACTATGGATCACATGACTGAATCAGTATTTGATAAATCAGTTCATATTTCTGTGCCCCTCTTTCTCCTCTTCTGTGGTGCAGCCATGAGGAGGAGATCACAAAGATTTGCTTCCAAGAGCTAGGTTTTCACTGGGTTTTCAATATATGGTGGTAGGGCATGCATGCATGCGCACGCACACACACACACAGTATTTGTTTGTATTTTCAACCAATGATGGCTTGTTGTTATAAGCAAATCGGGCCAAGCTGTGGTTAGTTTTAACTATGTTTTATCTGAACAAGCCAAGCAGTAGTTCCTACTTGGGATATGACATCCAAACGTGATTATCTGAAAATGGAAGCAAATGCTTCCCGCTTCTTCATGGTTGTTGTGGAGAAGGGGAAGGAAGCAGGCTTGTTCATTATAGCTTTGCACGGATGTTCCTTTTTAATCCTAATTATAAACTAGAGCAGCAGTTGCAGATCAGTGCTACTGTGCCCTCATGCCTGTTTCAGCTCCACTGAAACAGCTTTCAATTAATGTGGTGACATCACTGCACAGAATGTATGCAAGGAGAGGGGGTGATGCACTTCTGAACTGAGGCTGGAGAGCCCTGAGCTGAGCCGTCTTGCTCGCTGCATGCAAATCACTGGAGCAAATGGTGTGTGCTGCCCATCACCTGGTTTGCGGCACAGTATGTGATTTTTCTTTCAGAAATAGAGTGAGGGCCTGGCACAGGGAGGAGGGAGGCTTGAGCCAAATGGCCTTTACCATGGTCCAATGGGAGTCCCCACCCCCCATATCAATTATACTCTGTGCTACCATGTGCACCATCAGGAGAGCTGCTGTTCTCAGAGTAGCTGCAGATATCCACATTGTTCTACCGGGGACTATCCTGGCTTGGTTTATGACTAGCCATGACTGTAAGCATCTATAGCCATCGACTAGTTTTCTGGCAAAGTAGCTAATAAGACTGGACCAGTGGCCAAGAAGAGAAGCAAAATAAAATACACCCATTTATGTGTGCACATATTCCAATCAATTATGTATGTCTTGTTTTACATTATATTAATGCTTTGTATTTCTGTTGAACAATTTACCCATCATGATGTGATGAGATCTGTTTGAAAATTATGTTGATACCCACATGAGTGTCTTGTTGTTTACTTTTCATGCTTTGTGAAAGTCTAATAGCTGCCTACATTTTAGAAGGGAGGGACATGTGTTTCAGTCCTGAAGTAGGAACACACAGATGCATCCATGATATAAGGTATAATGTTTGCTCTTATGCTTAAATGCTTGCAAGTGAAAGAAGCAAACACATGGAGAAACTGTTGAATGAGACAAAGAAAGCCAAATCCTGGTCACAGATAATAAAGCACACTCACTCCAGCAAGTGCATGCATATATCTTTAGAATCAAATATTATCCATTGCAACATTATACTCTAGAAAGCATTAGAATAGTAAATGAAAAATGGGATAACTCTTTTCTTGTGCATGGTTGTTTCATGGAAAGAAAAAAAAATAAAGCAAAAGGATAATGACAAATGCAAATGCTTCTTTTAATTTGCACTGAATATTTATTTCATTTTCCATTTACAGGTACAAGCATATTTACTGTTTATGAAGCGGCTTCTCAAGAAGGCTGGGTCTTTCTGATGTACCGTGCAATTGACAGCTTCCCTCGATGGCGTTCATACTTCTATTTCATCACTTTAATTTTCTTTCTTGCTTGGCTTGTTAAGGTACTGTAAAAGAGGTTCTGGCGAACTTACTCAGCTTATAAATTGGGTTTAGGTTTCTCCCCCACTCCCCATTCTATCAGTATATTTCATTATAAGCAACAATCTTTAACATTTTATATATCTATTTTGTAGAATGTATTTATTGCTGTCATCATTGAGACATTTGCTGAAATCCGTGTACAGTTTCAACAGATGTGGGGGTCCAGAAGCAGTACTACTTCAACAGCTACTACACAGGTAGGCCTTGCTCAATGTGGATGCCATCCTAGGCATGTTTAGTAAGATAATAGTTCTACAACTCCCAGCATTCCCTAGCCAATTGTGCTGTTGACCTGGTTCATGTGTTATGACAACCCAGAGTATGCATTGAGTATAAGTCATCAATGAAGAGGCAAGCTTGATCAAACAAGCCAGGAGTCAGGAACCAAGGAGACAATGTCGAGGGGGAGGGGGTACCTGAGGGCTGTAGCAGGACAAGGAGCAGGCAAAGACCAGGAAGCTGGTGGAAGTGGGAGGCCCAACAAACAAGGAGCACTCCCAGTAAGTCAGAGGACCTTCATTGCTGAAGCAGCTTCTGGAGGGAAGAGCCAGTTCTGACATAGCTCTTCCCCCAGGACTTCCAGGCAGTGCTGATGAGATCCTGGGAAGCTCCAGTAGATTGGGACAGTGATCCTGCAACTACCAGGGCTGCTATGCTGGTCCTTGCCCAGCAGAGGGAACTCTGAAGCTGCCCAGGAACTTGACAGTGGTGCAGGGTTCACATGTAAGAACAACCCTTGATGTCAGAATCAGCCCATACTCAACTCATCCTCTGGATTCTTGTGTGTGAACCAATCTTACCTTGAGCAGTCATAACCTCAAGCATAGCATTAAAGGAGCCCCTGTCCAACACATCATTCACTGTTGCAGAAGCTTAACAATTGCAATAAATTGTCTTAGCAGCACATAATACCCAACTTTTAATCACACAATCAGTGATGGGACCTGGATCACCATGCTTAAATTGTCTCCTCCTTCTCAGGACAATCCAGGATCCTTTACCATACTTTTGTTGAAAAGTTACAGAATTCCTATTCTACAAGTCCTTCTATGAAGGAACTAGTGTGCAATGCACACTGTTATTTCACCTTCAACATTAGAATAGTGTCTTACAGAGTTTATAGTGCTCCATACTTTTTTTCTGTATATGCTATAGAAGAACCTTCTAAAGGAGGAGAGTACTATTATCCACATATTTAGAGGGTTACACATAGCTAGGGTACAGTTTGTCTGTTTCTGATTCCCTGATCAAGTCCTAGCATCAGTCCCTGACATCACTGTGTAAAATGATTAGGTAGCAGGTGGCAAGAAAGGCTTTGTCCTGAATGCCAGAGCAGCACTCAGAGGAGACAGCGCTGGGTTGGATGGATTATATGAGGCAGTTTCTCAAGTTCTTCTGACTGAGGAGAAAGATACAGCTGAGGAAAAGTTGGCTAGCCCAAAGGCATAGCAGAATCACTGAACCACTGTGTGTTGCTGCAGGATACTCCCAATAAAGGCATGTTTATGTCTTGTGTATGCATTTGACATATGTGATAAGACATGTATATGCCAGATGTGATTGTATATACAGAGCTTGTGCCTACACTTGTACATGGAAGTTGCTTTCCCATGAAGGCAAGCAAAACCTCTCCAAAGCTCCCTTAAATCTTCCACCTGTTTGCATTTTCCCAACAGATTCTGTGGCCAGTTCTAGCCCTGGATTGTTCAGTTTAGGAGCTGCTGCTAACAAAACAGTAACCACTCAAATATTACAGTGTGGAAGCAATGGAGTCCAATTCTTTTCAAGAGAGTACTCATCAGAATACAATAAAGACAGAGTGATGTTCACGGAAAAACACAATACCAGTTTTGCTTGTGTATCTGAGCACATAAACCTCTTCTGACAAGTGTTTTCCCCCTGCAGATGTTTCATGAAGATGCTGCAGGAGGGTGGCAGCTAGTGGATGTTGATGTGAATAAGCCTCAGGGCAGAGCTCCAGCATGTCTGCAGGTAGGGTGTTGCTGTTTAAATAAAGCCATCCGTGTAGCCAACCAGGAGAGGATGTTGCTGTCTGCATGTAGGCAGCAAGGGAAAAATCCAAACAACCACAGTTTAAATGCAGAAACAGCTCCAAACTGCCTGATCGGCTGTGCATTTTGTATATTCTATAAAATAAATGCACATGCCCCATCCTCAACAAAATATTTCCAGAAAATTATGCTTGGAAAACTGTAAGGCAGGTGGGGATGGGGAATACATTTCCTGAAATGTAGGAGCCCTTCCTCATGTTGTGTTTTGCCTTTTACTTTGACGTTCTCTTCTATAACAGACTGCCAAAAAACCCCAAACAAACAAGCAAACAGAAATATCTGGAAAATGATTTCTTACCCAGTAAATGCAGATACATTATTTTGGTAGTACTGTACATCATCAGCAGTAAAAGGGGTACCTGCAGGTTTTAAAAGCTACTACAGAATGAATGAATGAGCAAAGCAAAATCAAGCAACCACTATAGGAGAACAATGTTTGTATTACTGCATTACAAGAATTAGGTTTCCATTGAAATTCTCCTTGGTTTTGGAATTATTGCCCTGGAACATCAAGACTGTTGAGGTTTTTGACTTAAGCATTTTAAATGTTGGTCTCCATAAAGAGGTGTGTGGTCTTATGCTGTCTTGGGACTCTTAAAGTTTGATGCAATGTGAGAATGGTGGTGTCACAGTTGGTTTCCTTCTGCTGCTCCTATTGGCTTTGTAATACAAGGAGAGTATTACAGAAAGCAGTAACAAAAGAAACAAGCAAGTTAGAATGCTGGCCAATAGAGGAGTGAGGACTTAATGATACCAAGTTGATTCCCTATGGAATAGCTCTCCTCTTTTCTGTACTCTCAAGGCGGATTGTGCTGCTGTGGGACCAGTTGCTTGTCTGATGGCATCTGATGTTGCTTAGTAGGTCCATCCTCTTAAGCCGATAATGTAAGGTCAGACTAATGTTGTGCCTCTGGCCCCCACAATCAGCTTACTCACTGGACTTTCCCACAAAACTTGCAGCTGCCTGATTCACAGCAACTGCCTGGCTTCTCTCTGGGTCCACTGGCTTGCCAACTCAGCTGTGGATCCTGGTCCTTCCGCCTCTTCTTCTCAATCTGATTCAACAACCTTTGAAGGTCTGCCTCCATCCCTACAGGTGCCAGCCTTGCCTCTATGGTCAGCTCTGGACTTTGCTATTTTGTTGAGCTGGTCCTGTCAGAGTGAGTGAACAAAGTGGCACAGAAGATGCCAAGATTTAATTTGGATGCAACCATTAAAGTGTCAAATTCATTGACAATTTATTTATTTATTTAGTTAGTTAGTTAGTTATTAAAACATTTCTATGCCGCCCCTTGCCAAGGCCTCGGGGCGGCTTACAACATCAAATAATTTCTTAGAGTGCACTTGTTGCATCTGCTAGTTTGGGCTCCAACCTTGATGGGGCCATGGGCAGATTACCTTCTGGTGACCTTCTTCCTATGTGGGTGAACCCACCAGCATCACAGACTTGCTTGGTGTTGACTTCAGCAACAATGCCCTCAGGTGTTCTTGTGGTCAACTAAAATCGTGGCCCACTGGAGTGATGCTGTGTTTCAGGCACTGTGGGGAATTTCAGTAGTAGCTCCCTAGCCTCTACCTGACCCAGATAAGATCAGAACAGCAGTTAGAAGGGAAGTCAGGATTGGTGTTAGCTGAGCAGTGGGACCTGCTATTGTGCTGGACCCCCAGTACCTGCCTGAGGACAACACACGTCAGTTAAAGGCCTTCTAAATAATTGCAGTGGCTGGGGAGGCAGGTGTGGAGAGAACGTGGCTTCTCAGAGTGCTAGAGTCATTTTCTATAGCTACAGGATTTCTAGATGCCTCTAGAGTGTCTGTAAGCTGGATGCATATTATAACTGCCTTGTAGCGCTACAAGTAAAGCAAATGTAGACAAGCCCATGGTCATGATTAACGCATGCTGACAATGTTTCTTTTCTGGCTGCTTTTGCATGGTTTCTTTACTTGACCCAAATATACACATACATCAAAGGTAAACAGTATGTACATGAAGGAAGTTTGCTTACAGAAGGGAATGAAATCTCACAAAGTAGTGTCTGCATTTGCATGGTAGGGAAGGATGTCCATAATGAAGCGGAGGCACGTCAAAGCACAAACCCAACAGAATTACAGTAATCAAATTACCTGGTACGTGTCTTCCTGGAAATAGCCTTGATAATGTCTGGTTCTGCTTTTACTCTGCAGATGACATTCAAGGTAATACATTGGGGAGAAACCCCTCCAAATGGCATAAAAATAAAAAGAAGCTTGTGAATTTAGCCCGATATCGCCTTAGTTGGAAATTTGGACAGTGAGGGCAGTGTGTGTGTGTGCAGTGGTTTTATTAAGTTTAAACTCCTTGCACACCAAAGGATTTTAGAAAGTAAATTGCTAGTTCTCAGAAGACAGCTGCTGAGAGAAAATATATTGAGGCTAGAGGGTGAAATCCAGTTTGCTTCTTTTTGTTGATGAACTCTCTGCCTCAAAAACAAATCTCTCTTTTCTAAATAGAAAGAGTTCCCAATATTCTAACATAGCACACACATGGAATACCCCCCTCTTCCCCTATCCCAACAGATTTCTGTTCTTCCTCAGAACTAGTGATAGGAAAGAAATTTGTTTAGTTTGCTTTTTTTTCTCAAACATAACTAAAACACAGTTAAACATTGATATCCACACATTTGGATATCTGCACATCAAAAAACATATGAAAAGTACTATACTGCAGAAAAAATGCTCACAAAATATGTATATTGCAGACACATACACACAAGGAAGCTTTATCCTAGTGTACATGGTATGTATACTTTGAAAATGCATACAAAATACATACATTTTGAGAAACACACACAAAAATATGCATAGATTAAATGCAGATTTACTTTTTATTTTTTAGAAAGGGCAAATTGATGAGGAAATGGGATGAAACAAAATGACCAAAAATCAGACTTGACAAATCCGTCCTTCTGTACTCACTACTCACTTGCCTGATCGGCCCTGGAAGCAGCTGAGCGACATGCCACCAACATGTTCATCAGCTGCTTCCGGGGCCAACCAGCCAGGCAGTAGGTGTCTGTGTGCCCCGTTGCAGTTCTATTGCTTGCCTGCTTCCCCATTGCTGCCACCTGTGCTCCTCCCCGGCTGGATGGCCCTTTCTGTTGCTCATAAAGAAGAGCAACACCAAGCCAAGGCAGCACAAGAGAACCCCGAGGGAAGAGGAAATGAGGAAACTCGCTGGAGCAGGGTGACAGTGAGATGCAGAAGACCTAGAAAACACTGCCCCCGTGGAAGCAGTGGAACTCTCAAACCACTTCAGGTTGCTCAAGGAAGAGACTTGTGAGAAACCCACTGTAAAAGAACCATACAACACACTATATAACTCTTTTTCAGAGACAAAAGGCCAATCAAACAAGGAAAAGGATAGACAACTTTGCAACAAAAGGAGAAGAGTGCTAGTTGTGGGAGATTCCCTCTTGCATGGAATGGAAAAATTTGTATGTCATGATGACCCAGAGAATCGCCAAGTTTGCTGTCTCCCTGGCGCCAAGGTTAAAGATATAACCAGCAAGTTCACACAACTCGTACGGCCCACTGACAAATACCCCTTCCTTCTCTTCCATGTGGGAACTAATGGCACTGCCAGGAGAAGTTTTGCTGAAGTTTTGCTAACATCAGACTTCGAAGCTCTAGGGGAAAAAATAAAAAACACTGAAGCCCAGATAGTCGTCTCCTCAGTCCTACCAGTACATGGAAGAGGGACCGTTAGAGAAAGAAAAATCCTTCAAGTGAATGACTGGCTACGATGGTGGTGCCGTAAAGAGAGATTTGGATTCTGGGACCACAAGCTAAGCTTCCTGGAAGATGAACTGCTGGCAAATGATGGGCTGCACCTCACAAAGAACAGGAAGCAGGTGTTAAGCCACCATATAAAAAACTTTATCAGAAGAACTTTAAACTAAAACCTATAGGAGAGGAAGATGTGCAGCATTGCATACCATCAGCAAAGACTTATATATTTCAACAGAGAAAAAACCTCAAGTAGGGCAAAGTACCAGTCTCCCAAAGAACGTAGAAAGAAAACCAGGGCACAAGAAGAATGAACTTCGATGTCTCTACACCGATGCCCAGACTATGGGAAACAAGCAACACGAACTTGACCTCATAGTACATGAGGGCAATTATGATCTTATAGGACTAACAGAAACTTGGTGGGATGACTCACATGACTGGAACTCTACAAATGATGGATACAGCCTGTTCAAGAAAAATAGAAAGGACAGAAAGAGCAGTGGAGTTGCACTATATGTGAGAGACACATATATCTGCACAGAAATTCAAGAAGAAGAACTTAGTAGCCCCATTGAAAGCATCTGGCTAAATTTAAAGGGAGCAAAAAATAGAAAAAAAATAGTTGTTGCCGTATATTACTGTCCACCCAGTCAAAAAGAGGACAATGATGCAACCTTCGAAAAGCAACTTGCCAGCATTTCCAAGAAGAATGATGTAGTCATTATGGGGGTCTTCAATTTCCCTGGTATATGCTGGGAGACAAATTCTGCCAAGCATGGCCCCTCCAAGAGATTCCAGACATGTGTTGTCGACAACTTCCTCCAGCAGAAAGTAGAGGAAGGTACGAGGGGATCAGCTATACTCGATTTAATATTAATTAACAGGGATGGCCTGGTGGACAAAATAACAACCATGGGAACTCTGGGGGAAAGTGACCGTGTGATACTTGAATTCTCAATTATGAAAGAGACAAAGGGTAACTGGAGCCAAACAAGCATCTTGGACTTCAAGCCAACTATAACAAACTCAGAAAAATGATAAGTGAAGTGCCATGGCAACACACCCTTAAGGGGAAAGGTGTCCAAGAGGGATGGGAAAGCTTGAAAAAGAAGATTCTTGAAGCACAACTACGAACAATTACATCAAGAAAAAA